ACGTATTTATGACTATCTATATATATAAAAAAACAGCAACTGGAACGCCATAACAACCAGAACGACTGGATGCTATGACGCCCACTGCAGCCAGCAAACCGGCCTGAATGGGGGTGGGGCCACCAAACAACCTTCCACAGCCCCTCCCGCCAGCTTTCTCTGATCCTGATAAGCCTCTCCCCGACCCTGATCAAGGAGGGGGTGGTGGCTCTTACCTCCAGCTGGCCCTGCGTGGATGGGCCCCCTCCACCCCAATCAGCCACAGCCCCTCCCCCTCCCAGTCCCACCCAATTGCCCCCCCACCTCAATCAGGGGCAGGAACACAAGCCAACCACCTGTAGCCTTTCCCCCAGCCGATCCCACCCCCAATGGGCCCCCACTACTCCAATTGACCTGCGGCCCCAATCTGCCCCAATTGGGGCTGGGCCAGCCAGACCCCACCTGTGCGTAAATTTGTGCACTGGCCTCTGGTATATATATATTAGATTTATTGAACATTTACTACATAGGTGTCATTAATCCCCATTTCACAAAATAGCTAAGTGGCTGGTCCAAGTTCACAAGTGAGGAAGCCAAGATTAAAACTCAATTTGCCAGACACCAACATTTATCCTAGTTCTTTATGTCCCCATTTTCTCCTTTTATAAATGTGGAGAGTGAACAAGAAAGTCACTGATTGGACTTTAGTGCCAGCTCTCACATTAACTATGTTCCTCTTCCCTCCTGGAGCCTCAAGTCTCCATCTGTAACATAAGAAGATTGAACTCGTGACCTCTGAATTTGCCCAGCTCAATAATGCTCTGAGCCTTGGCTTCTCATCCAGGTATCTTAGACAAAAAGCAGGCTTGGTTCCAACTGTACACTCTTGTTCCCGTTCTTTAAAAACTTTCATGTAATTATATTATAGGTAATTGGATTTAAAATTCAAATAACACTAAAAGGCATGAATTACAAAAAGAGTCTCTTGCTCTGTAAACACCCTTCTCTCCTTAAAAGAAAATCTGGTGGCCAAAGCTAATGCTCTTCAAGTCATTAGTTTTATTTCCTGAAATCCATACATTTTATATAATCATAAGTGTATACTGCTCTCTCTTGCTTTGTAAATATTGGATATTATCCATGATATTCTGTAATAGATGAGGAATTTTTTTTGCACATTTATACACTCTTTCCCTTTGTGTTCATGCAGGTTTTACTATTACTGCTTTGTATATACTGTTCACTGCTGAGTTAAGTGTGCTGTACATTTTTTAACATCCAAGAATTTCCCCACCCTCTCTTGCATTGGATATGACTTATTCTTTTTCCTTATATACTCTCATTTTGGTGCAGCCAATCTTCAAGTAGGTTCCTGAAGTACATTTCCTATTTCCTTCCTACATGGTGGCTGAATTGATTAGGTATAGAATTTCAGGCTGGACCTTTTCCTTTCGGATTTTAAAGCCTTTGCCTCACTGTCTTTCATGTTGCTATTGAAAACTGTGATAGCATTTTGATTACTTTTTGTTGTTGTTGTATTAGGCCTTTCCTCATCACCGCCCCCAGACTGTTAGGAAATTTCACAACAATGTATCTTAGTTTAGGTAATTTTTCAAGTTAGCTTTTCAATAAAAATAAACAAATTATTTTTTACACATTTCCTTCTATTAGCTCTTTGTATTTTTCTCCTGACCATTTTATCTATTTCACTTTCTGGTCCTCTTATTATTGAAGCATTGAACTTAGTGGACTGAATCTCTAATTTAAAAAAAACAAAAAACATATCTTTTTTCCAGTTCCTATTTCTTTGACTTTTTTTTTGTTCTACATAATTAAAAATATATTTTTATTGATTTCAGAGAGGAAAAGAGAGGGAAACATCAATGATGAGAGAGAATCATCAATCGGCTGCCTCCTGCACGCCCACACCACGGTATGTGCCGTGACCAGGAATCAAACAGTGACCTCCTGGTTCATAGGTCAACACTCAACCACTGAGCTACACCAGCCAGGCTTCTGTTCTATATTTTTCTCAGGTAATGTTCTACATTTTTTAGATTTCTACTTTTATTTTGCTACGTATGTGTATATACATTTATACATCTCTATATACCAATGTATATAATATCCTTACCTAAGGATATTGTTTCTATTGATTATTTAGAGAGAGTAGAAGAGAGGTAGGGGGGTAGAGGAAGATACAGAGATAGAGACATGAGAGAAACACATCAACTGGTTGCCTCCAGCTCATCCCTACCAGGGCCGGGGATTGAACCTGCAACCAAGATACGTGCTCTTGACTGGGAATTGAATCCACACTCCTTATTTTGCTGGCCAATACTCTAACGACTGAGCCCAAATGGACTAAATAGTTAATATATTTTTAATTTCCAAGAAGTCCTCTGATGTTTCATTTTTTTTTATTCTATCCTTATTTCACCAATGTGTTATCTTTTCTGACCTCTACCTGAATCAGAACCTTTGTCACATTTGTTTCTTTGGTCTTCTCCTCCCTCTTCCTCCTCCTCCTCCTTCTTCTCCTCCTCCTCCTCCTCTTTTTTTTTTTTTTTTTTTTTTAATATATTTTATTGATTTTTTACAGAGAGAAAGCGAGAGGGATAGAAAGTTAGAAACATCGATGAAAGAGAATCATCGATCAGATGCCTCTATTGTGGAAGTTTTCCACTTTTGATACTCCTTCGCTGTCAGTTTGCATTAAAGAGCAAATCACTAAGTTGATTAGAAGTTCTAAATGAAGGCTTCAAGACTGGAGGGCTTCACTAGTGATTGGGTGAGCAGCTGACGAGCTGGTTTTTGTTTATTTGAATTTCAGCTATGGTATCTGTAATTCTTTCTCTAGGAACAGTTGATTCTGCAGAAGATATTTTAATCTCTTTGATTGAGGAGAGGATTCCAGCTTCTGAAGTTTTGGAATTAAGGGCAAATAGCAGGGTGGGGTGAGGAGAAGTTTACCATCATTTGGAAAGCAGATTCTCACTTAGCTCATGTTTTCAGTGTCCACATCACCCTTGCCACCCTCTGTGCCTCATATCCCCATACTTGGAACATCTCTGATTCAGTTTCCTCATACTGTAAATCTCCAACCTCTTGCAGGAGTAGGGAGAAATAATTACGTGTTTAGACAGATGGAGGTGGGAATCTGGATCCCTAAATATTTTTAATTAAATATGATTTCAGTGCTTCTCTAGACCCTTCCTCTGACGTTTCTGGTAGCTGAATTCCTAAAATTTTCTGGGATTCTGTTGGAGCAGAGACTTACTTTTCAATAACCTCTTGACATTCCCTCTCCTCGTGCATTTAAGTTCTTCTCTGCTCAATAATTTATCATTTTCCTTCACTCTGATTTCTTTTTAAAATCTGGCTCAAGTTACAGAATGGTGATCATAATTTCATTAATGATGGTGTACGATTTTTCTGTTTCTTGTTTCTTGGAGGTGTGATTTTTCTTGGGGAAAAGAGAGTTAAAATACCTCTACCTGTCCTCTTCACCTGGAAGTCCTCTACTTGGCGTTAATGATTTTTCTAAATTGTGTTTGCAGAATATGTAATTTCTCAAGTTACTTATCCTTTAAAAAAGATTACATAAATTGCTCATTGAATGTGTTACTGAATTACATTCTATAATTGCATTAGCATCTTGTAATTGTACATTAACATATATAACTAGAAATGAGTTTGTAATTAAGCACTCAGCCCTGATAAATTATAATCATATTGAAATTTATGAGTTAAATAGAAAAATTAAATAGATAAATTGAAAATAAACTGTTCTGAGATTCGGATATGTGTTGACAGATAAAACAATTTAAAAAATCAATACCTTATTCCCTGAGATGACTGTATTTTATTGCTGGAATTAATTCAACTACCGCATTTTGGAGGGAAGGGTGCTTAGCATTGACAGTTTTTGTTTTCTAAAGTAAAGTGAGTGTTTTTCCACAGTAATGGCCTTTTCTGCAATACGAATTGCCCAGTATATGGACTCATGCACATTGAAAGGAAAATAATTAGAAGAAATATTTTGATATTCCTATTCACCCTTTTTCTGTCAGATGTGTCAGTGATGAAAGAAAACTAGTAAAATGTAATATATACATTGATTAATAAATAAATAATAACATGATATAACAAAAACAAAGACATGATATAAAAACAACAAAAACACGATATAAAACAACAAAAACATGTTATAAAAACAACAAAGATGATATAAAAACAACATTGATAAAAATAATGACTGATAACTTGATTAAACTTATTCTAATATCTTCCTGTATACATTAAGAGTAAAAACACTTGGGATTGCTGGATTGTATGTGGTTCTATTTTCAATTTTTTGAAGAATCTGCATACTGACTATTTCCACAGTGGTTTTACCAATGTACATTCCCACAAAAGTGCATTAGTGTTACCCTTTCTCCACATCCTCACTCACACTGTTTACTTGGTGTCTTTTTATAACAGCCAGTCCAATGAGGGATATCTCATTGTGGTTTTGATTTGCTTTTCCCTATTGAGCATCTTTCTTGTATGCTTTTTAGTCTGTATGTTTTCTTTGGAAAAATTTCTATTCATGTCCTATAAGCCATAGAAGGATAAAGAGACATATAGCCAACAGGCTAGGAATTTTGTAAATTCAGAGGGGAATAAATGGGCAGCAAAGTCTCACTACCTGGTACATTCTACCTGGTGTGCTAGTAACATGGGCACTGTCTCAACTCATTTCATGGAAGAAGCTTTAATCTTTTCCTCAATATTTAGGTGCACTTTAAGCTGCACATAAATATATATTTAATATGAATTTACTGGATAAGATGTCAGCATTTTCCTGAATTTCCTTATGAATAGTTACCTTATTAATAGTTTTCTTAAAGTTAGAAAATAAAAGTTATAAATTTCTTAGTTTAGCAAGAATATAAAAGTTTATCTTTTATTTACTCTAAGGCATATAATTTTTCTTACTTTTTAAAATAAAGAAATTGAAATAGCTTATTACTTACCCCAATATTAAACATTCCTGTAAAATACTCCATATTTGCTTGAATAAACCAAATGTTGCTTAGACCTAGCTCATCACTTCTCTTCTTAGCACGAATTAATGACAATTCCTTGTTTTCTATTAATGTAACCTAGATTTCAGCCAGGAAACAAAGTATATTTAGGAACATAATTCAGACATTAGGGAAAAGTATTATTACTGTATTTCATAGTCTTAATAACATAGAATATATTATATAGATCTTTATCCTATGCCAGGAAGTATGACAGATAATATGGTACAAAAATCAACAAGGTCTTTGAACTCTTGAAGCTTACAGTTGTAACGATATAAACAAAACGGGCAAATATAACATAGTGTTGTGTTTAATAAAAGACAAATGTATTATATGAGCACCTAAACCTGATGATTATGGCAGGTTTTGTTCAATCAATATGGGAAAGTAGCCCTGCCACTATGGCTGAATGGTTGAGCATTGGTACATGAACCAGGAGGTCATGGTTCAATTCCCGGTCAGGGCATATGCCTGGGTTTTGAGGCAGCCAATCAATGATTCTCTCTCATCATTGATGTTTCTACCTCTCCCTTCCTCTTTCTCAAAGTCAATAAAAACATATTTTTAAAAAACATATGGAAAACTAATATATTTACTGAGGCCTGAACAATTAATAGAAATTAGCTGGGGCAATGAAGTAGTGTTATCAGGCAGACAGAAAAACACGTATGACGGCCCAAGGTGAAAAATATACTGTGTATGAAGAACTGAGAAAACTGGTGTAGCTGGGCACAATGTGTAATGGTGATGGTGGGCATGGGTAGCAGGATATGGGGGTGGAAATCAGGCTGGAGAGGCAACAGAAGCCAGACCATGGGTGATAAAAGAAGTTTCAGGTGCTGCAATGAACAGTATGGATTAGTGGAGCGAGGCAGAAGGCAGCACTACCAGTTAGGAGTCTCTCACAGTAATCCAGGCCAAGGAAGATCAGGGAGGACCATCGGTTTGGATGTAGAAGAGTGGGCAGAATTGTCACTTTCATCACGATCATTCTTAGTTCTACCCTAATTTTGTCCTCTAGCTTGTGTTTATGGGAAAATCCTAGATCCTTTGTATAATAACACCTGTCAGAGTACCTGAGGTGTCAAAGGCTTCCCTCTTTCCAGTCTCAGATCCCAGGAGAACTGGTAGGGAGGAAAGAAGACGCCATGTACCGGACTCTGTTTCTACAGGATTCTCACGAATGAGCTTTCTTCCTCTTACTCCACCATGAAATTGTTGCTTTTTAAAAATAATAAAGCAGACACCTGCACGTTTCTCCCAGGAGTCCTTATTTATTTACTCCTTATTTCCTAAGAAAGTAAAAGAATAAGACCAGCCCTCCAGTTGCCATCATTCAACTACATCATTCACACCAGCCTGAGTTCTTCCACATTTTATTTTTCTTCTGGGAGTGCAGTAATCATTGTAATTATTTTGTGCCTTCTAGAGAGCAAAGAATGTGCTCCAGTTTAACTGCATTTTTTTTAAATGACATAAAATTCTAGACTTTTGTGTTAAAAGATGATCACTGTGAGGAAATTATTTAATATGGTAGAAGACTAAAAATAGCAAATTTCTAATAAATGTTGGCAATGATTGCATATATAATGGTATATTTCCTTAAAAACATATTATGTAGTCACATTTTAGTATTGTTTTGATGAAAACATTTATAACTATTTCCAACAGGGAAAAATGTTTTTGATACAATACTGAGTGAAAACATAACTAAAATTTTATTTGCATTTTTAGATTTTGCAACAATAATTATCCTTAAGGACAAGGACTTATTAAGAATATGAGGAGAAAATCATTTCATGGATTAGAGAGGTAGATTGAATTTTGTTTTTCTTTAAAATTTTGTTATTGTTGTTACAATTTTGATACAATGAGTAAAAATCAAGTTACCAAAAGAATATGCTCAACAAGTTTCAGATGCTAGTATTTCCAGAATAAAATTATGCTTAAAATTAAACTAGTTTTATCATTACTTCATTTAGCACTGGAATAGTTATTTTAAAAATTATTTAATATATAACTCTTTTATACAGTTAAAAACTATTGTGATCCTACTTTTTCCATAAGATTTTGAATTTTAGAAGTTTAGTTCAAAGAAAAAAGAAATTGCCTGTGCCACACATTTGGCCTGGGTGAATGATTATAAACTCAAAGAGAAGGTATAAGCTAGGCTCAGCTAATTGAATCATGTCATTTTCCGTTGTTTTCTATGTTATTCAGACTTTACCTGGCATAACGGCAGCATATGAGCGAGCATAATCCCAAGGTGACCCTAAAAGAGGCAGGAAAAGAGACAAGTTAAAGTTGGTCCCTAAGGCTTCTGCTCAACCTGAGACAATAATCTTGCCAAATAAAAGCATTTCCTTGAATGTAATATAAAGGTATATAGTCTTGCAAAGACTAAAATGATATGTGAAGAGATACCATACCCCACCGCTGCAGAAATCCACAATTCTGTCACCAGGTTTGGCTTGATTTGTCACCACATACACAAGATTGTTTAACTGTTGCTGCTTTCTCAATGCTCGATCACTGGACATTTTACCTGGGAAAGACAAGAGATGAAGAAAATAAAATGTGTATTCTGTGGGGTTGACCCCTCTTTTTTCTTATGTGATTACTAGTAGAATAGACTACCAGAAAGAGGGGTGAATAGATAAATGAACTACAAATTCTGTATAACCCACTAAGAGAAGACTAGAGAAATGAAACCCAGAAGTAACCTCTATTTTTGTGAAGAGATACCATAGGTATCTCTTATTTTTACTTTAGTCTTATCCAACTTTTCTTTCAATATGTAGTGGCAGAAAATCTATGAAAAAAATATATTCTAAAGAAAGAACACAACATGTGAAACATTAAGTTCAGGTCCTAAACAAAGTAATTGTTCAATACATGCTTTCTGGATGAGTAACAACAGAGACCTATTGTAAAAATAATTTCAGCACATTGACTAAATCTCATTGGAGAAAGGAGATCCATAATAAATAAAAACCTTTTTATTTAACTGGCCCATCCTTAAACTTTATTTTTCTGATTAGAACTCTTGAAACATAGGTGTTGCATTGCCTGAAATATGTCAATGGTGATTATATTTAGAGAGAAACTGGATTTTCCCCTTTTTACTTCGAAGTGTTTTCCTCATGAGTCAGACACAGAAATTTAATGCAATTAGAGATTAGAGATAGGGTATTTCCAAGTATGAAATGCCTTGGGCCTAGCAGCATGAAAACAATTGAACTTTCAAAAGCCATTAGTCAAGCCCATGAATATATCTTCAGAATAATGAATGAAATTACTTGTTTTTACATGTTTCAAATGCACTTTTTAAGAAAGTAAAAGCAAGAGTAAGAAGATGTAAGAACATATTTCAGTGATACAGATTAAAAACCCAGATAATCTTTTTTGTTTGATCAAATGTTATTTACAGACACCAAGGTTTCCCTGCTCCATTTTCATAGAAAAATAATGTTCTTCTCTTTTCTGTTTTTCTTTTTTCTTATGTGATTACTAGAGGCTCGATGCATGGAAATCGTGCAAGAGTAGGTCTCCCTTCCCCCAGCTGCTGGCACCGGCTTCCCTCTGTCTGCCAGCAGGCATCCGGGAGCTGAGCTTCACTCACAGCTCTGACTTCGTCCTGAAGGTCATCCAGTCTAATTAGTATATTATGCTTTTATTACTATAGATATGTATATGCATATATCCTATATAATAAAAGCACAATATGCTAAGTGTCTGATGGTTCATTCAACCATCGCTATGACACACACTGACCACCAAGGGGTAGATGTTCCAACTGGTAGGTTAGCTTGCTGCTGGGGTCCGGCTGATCAGGACTGGGTGAGACATGCTGGAAATACCCTGGAGCCCTCCCGTGATCCCTCTCCGGCCCTGAGTGTGCACCAGTGGGGTCCCTTGGCCTGGCCTATGCCCTCTAGCAATCTGGGACCCTTTGGGGATGTCCACAGGCCAGGCCAAGGGAACCCACCAGTGTATGAATCCATGCACCAGGCCTCTAATATGTGTGTGTGTGTGTGTGTGTGTGTGTGTGTGTGTGTGTGTTCTAGTCACATCCATAAGTCCATCATTTAATACACAGCAAATAAAATGTTACAAATCTTTCTACATCTGTGCATTTATTTTTCTACTATTTAATAGTTGCATAATATTTTATTCATTATATATACCATTGCTTATGTAACCAGTTTCCTATTATAATTCTTATTTAGCATGGCCAGATTTCAAGCATGAAGAGCTTTGAAATCAAAAGTCTGGTGACTCTATTTGTGAAGACAATTTCATGTATAAAAATAATTATTTTTATTTTTCTCTAAAAATATAATTATAGCCCAGCTGTGGTGGCTCAGTGGTTGAACATTGACCTATAAACATGGAAGTCACAGTTCGATTTGGGGTCAGGGCACATGCCCAGGTTACAGGCTTGATCTCCAGAAGGGGGTGTGGAGGAGGCAGCCTATCAATGGATCAATGATTCTCTCTCATCAATGATGTTTCTACCTCTCCTTTCCTCTCTGAAATAAATATATTTAAGAATAAAAATATAATTATAAAAAAATTTAAACACAGAGTAAGTGAAAGCCTCTGTCACCTTACCCTCTGTGGATAACCAGAGATTTTATGACAATTTTCAAACACATAGCAAAGTTGAAATAATCTTACAATGGACACCTCTATAAACTCCACCTGAATTCTGCCATTAACAGCTTACCGTACTTGGTTTATTACACTTGTATTAATCTATCCATCTCTCTAATCTCTCTACCATCCACTCATAAGTCAAACTTATCTTTTAAAATAGTTTTATTGACTTTAGAGAGGAAATGAGAAAGAGAGAGAGAGAGGGAGAGAGAGACTTCAATGTGAAAGAGAGAAATGTCAATCAGCTGCCTCCCATAGGTGCCCAGAGTGGGGATGGAGCCCGCAACCTGGGCATGTGCCCTGACTGGGAATTCAACTGGTGACCTTTTAGTGCACAGATGATGCTCAATTAACTGAGCCACACCAAACAGGTCCAACTTTTTTTTTTTTTTTTTTTTTTTTTTTTTTTTTTTTTTTTTTTTTTTATGGCAGTCTTGATTTTTTTTTATGGCAGTCTTGATTCTTGAAGAAGACTTTTGAAACAAAAAAAAGTCAACCGGAAATCGGGGGCAAAAGACCAAAATTGCACAAAAATTACCTGCAGATCTTGACGGCAAAGTAAGTCTTTTCTTTGAAGTGGGGGGTAGTCTTATACAGCAAATATAGGCCTAAACCTATGTTTTAACTGTAAAACTAGAGGCTCGTCTTATACGCCGGAAAAATACGGGTTATTTTCATGAATGGGCAAAATTTACACTTGTACTGCAGTTATTACAGGCTTATATTAAGGGATTCTCAATTAGACTTCAAACTCTTGTGTCTTGTCCAAGTCTGTATCTGACTCTATAGTTCTTTGTACCTAGTACATTTTTAAATATGTTTATTGAATCAAATACTTCAGTAATGTGAAGCCTATTAAGAACCTTAAAATTATTCAGGGGATAGTGCTGATCATCAGATATTGAAGGGAAAAGTAGAGGTGAGTGAAGAAGGAAGAACAGCAGCAGAAACTGAGGAGAAATGAATAGAATGCAAAATCAACCTAACTTTCTTCATTGATTAAATACGTAGTGAAGCAGACCCAATAGGAAAATTTCTAAGAAAAGAATGTTCCATAGATATATGAACAATAAGGGCTTTTACATACTGAGAGGCAGGCAAGGGCGGCAGAAGGAAAAGGTCTGAATTAACTGGTATTTTATAAATTCTCACATAACAAGGGAGAGCTTAAAAAGTAAAACTTGCATTGCTTCACTTTAGTGCAGTGCCAGTCTTTTAATCCCTTCCTGACCTATTTTTATTCAGCACTGAAAAGGGCACATTGTTTGATTTGGGAATTAGCTTTTAAGGAGATTAGTTTCCAGGAAAAGTAAAGCATTTCGAATATAAAGAGGGACCCTCATACAAGGCATCAGAGTGTACTGTGCTACCAAACCACCTGCTAAAAACAAGTTGAAAACCAAAACAAAATCCAATATTCATTCCCTCCCAAAATTACCAATGAAATTCAAAATTATTTTATATAAAATATTTATCAACAAAAATTATTTGCCTCCTAGAGTTTTTAACCAGAGGGAGGCTAAATCCATTTATCTATAAGCAAGAAATAAAAAATAATAGATTTTTATTTTTAATCATAGATATCCATCTGTATTAGATTATTAATTATGGATTATAATGCAATTTAAATACAAACACAATGGGCTTCTTAAATCTTCACTTAATTTAATTTTTCTTAGAGTCTTTTGACTTGAACTTAATCCTTCAGAAAAATGTGTCCATTCATTCCAAGTGGGTACAGATTTTCTTTTTCCAACCCCAATAGTTCTATCACCTGTTATAACAAATGTTTTGTAATATTCTTCTTAACTATATTGAAATAAAGTTCAAAGATACTACAGCTTACTTACCTACATATTCTAAATAAAAATAATCAGCTAAAATATAAAAAAATAAAATAAATACTTTATAACAGAATAGTAGTGTGATATAGACACTAGTCACAACTACTATAAAATCAAAATGTCCCTCTCCTCCAATTTCTGAAAACATCTTTAGGGTTTACCATTAAATATTATGACATGAAAATTTTCTGATTTAGGTGACATTCTCTCTAGAATTTAATGCAATGTGTTGTTACTGGAATTTTGCTCTTTATTAACCCATAACGGACTATAAATTTTAGAAGATAGGTTTTCATAGAGCATATCATAATTAAGAGAATTTAACTTCAATTTCAAAAATTCCCCATTATAAAAACCATCTTATGTACGATTAGTACTCAACGTTACAATATAAAGGTATTTCTTCATATTGTTTAAAAATGAGCTCCCTGATGTAGTCATCTTGTTATCTTTATGTTTCTTTTATAATAATAACAATAATGAGCCATCTGTCTGATACCTGTCATAACTAAAAATGTCTAGATAACTAAAATAATCATCTTAAGAACCAAAATTGTTAAGTATTTCATACATCCAAATTTGTTACATATGTTATAAATAATAATATTGATAAAATGAATACATGGTATCCCATACCCAGCTTAGGAACTAGAACATTACCAATATTTTTGAAGTCCTATGTATGTCCCATACCCAATTGTACCACCTTCAATTTTCCTTGCACTGAGACAAGTACAATTCTGAATTTTGTGTTTACCATTATATTGCTTTTCTTTATAGTTTTACCACAGAGTTATATAACTCTAATACTATATTATTTAGTTTGGAATATTTCTAAACTTTTGATAAATGGAGCTATATTGTATAATTGTTTGCAACTTGCATTTTTCACTGTTTGTAAGATTCATCCATGTAGATATATAAATCTCTATTTTCACTACTATATTTCATTGTTGAGCTATAATATAATTTAATGATTTTAGTCATTTGGAATGGTTCAATTTTTTTGCAATTACAATAAAAAACATTTCTATAATTTTAA